CTAACGTTTTCGACGGGATTTTCCCTCACTACGCGTCCATTTCGCACCAATTTTTATGAGCAAGAATCACATCGTATAGATTGTGGGGTGTGCTATGTGGGGACAAATGAGAAGGAGGGCGCTTTAGGTAACGAAAAGGGTTGTGGAAAAAAGAAAAAGAAGTCTACTCAACAATTAACATCGCCACGAAAACCATGGTCACAGTAATGTATAGTAGAAATACAAAACAAATAACGGAAAGCGCAATTTGACCTCAAATTACAGAAAGTTTATGGGTCTGCTGCTGCCTATCATTCCTCATTCATAAGCAATAATATCATAGCTCACCAAAATGGTAGGGCATAACATATGGTATGGTCAATCGGCAGACATCAGCTGTATCGTCAACTTGAATATCATTGAAGCGCATCTTTTCATCGTTGAACAGCCAGCACACCTGAAAAAACCAATACTTCTTCTTTCTCAAGTCTCCGCTAGAGTAAATAAGTGACAAAGTAAATACTTTCAGAAGTTTGCACGTGACCATAGCTCTCTGTTGAAAAAGGCATTTCTGTTCAAAAGCGGAATTATTACTTTGGCGTAATCCCGAACGAAGAATTGAAGGAGGTTTGGTAATGATTGAGTTTGGATCGGTTTTTTCGAACGGAACCTTGGTAGGAAATTGGTTAGTTTGCCACTTCGTGATACCAATTGACCCCATCCTCCTCCCGCCCTCCCCACGTGCTCAAAGACCGTTTTGGAGGTGGGCGGAGCAGGGCAGTGTCGGATGGTCGCGAAGGCGGAAGGGAGATTGCATTGGGGAGTAACTATAAGAGTGACGGTGGTGGTGGGGTCACATTGAGACCCTTTGCAGAGGGAGGGGGTCCCAAAATTTTCGAAAAAATGCGGGAGAGACGCCCTACGCTCCCGCAGTTCGAGCGTCAAGGGGCAGGGTCAACTGTCACCTTCGCACTTCTTCAAAATTTGGCAGCCTCCCACCCCCTCTTTTATAGGGTCTCTATGCGACACAACCATCACCATGGTTTGAAGGCTTTCTCAATACGATCCCCTTTCCCCCTTCTCCGACCACCGCCCTCACCTCATGGCTGTTTCTATAGTTGCCAAAGGTGCCCTATACATCAAAATTAAACTTTTTAAAAGTTCACCATGACGAAAAATAGCTTTTTGCTTCAACTCTGTTTGCAATGCTTAAAGGCAAAAGTCGGGCTCAATAAGGGGGTATTATGGCGATTGAAACTGAGTATAGAGATGCGAAGTGGAACGACAGTGGAGAAAAAACTGAGAAAAACCGTCGACAAGGCCGTTAACAAAACCCTCTTTCCCACTAGCAGTGAAGGAGGCTGGCTTGGGAAAGAGGCACGTACAAACAAGTTTTCTGGAGATGTCAGTCGTTCTATCGGTTGATACGGCAATCAACCTAGCTGATTTCACACGTTATGCCAGCCACGCACCACTTCCGGAGGTGGGCGGTCCTGGATTGAAACCGACGCCCCGGGGCCTTAACGGGGTTTTTCAAAGGTGGAAAGTTGCTGCAATGTGTGCAGCTACCCACATACAACCTCCAGGCACGGGAATTACTTCTCTAGCGTGCCTGAGCCCGACCTTTGCCTTTAAGTGCATAGGTTTCAGACAACTGACTTATTATTTGAGAAAATATTGTAGAAAACGGAAGAAGATCCAGGAGGCACAGAATGAAAGAAACAAATAGCAGCCAAATGCTTGAATACAATTGTAAAAAACAAAAAATATTGGACATAAAGAGACTCTAGAAATATGTACAGCTTACCTTGGGCCTTGGGCTACCCAACAGCACATCAACAGCTTTTCCGCCAACATGAACTCGAACGTCACCGAAAACCTACAATAAGCAATGGGGCAATGTATAACGGCAGTGAATAGTGAATAAACACCGCCAAAAAATAAATATAAAACCGAAGAAGCTTAATTGACTCCAAAAGCGCACGAACCTGCCTGAGGTATGAAATTTGCCTTTTCATCTTTTTCAAGTCATTTCCCGCCGTAAGCCTTAAAGGAATCTTCCACGGAAAAAGCTCCGCCTCCATTACCACAGAAAAACGATACCCCTTCTCAAGATAATGCTCCAGCAGAAACCACCGATTTACGGGCCGCAGCAGTCATAAGCAGCCATGATGCTCGTCCGTGATTGGCTACCACCACAAAGGTTACTGCGTGCAGACACGAGCCAGCCAGTCAGAGACTAGTGGGCGTGTCGGCAGCATATGCTGCCGACACTGCTGCGGCCCGTAACTCGGTGGTTTCTGCTGGAGCATTATCTGAGTTAGCCCCTAGCCTCATGAGCATAGCAAAAAGAACGGAACATAAGCGTTAGTTTCGATAATACTAATCCTACACACAAGACAAAATGATCACTCTTTCCGTGGAAGATTCCTTTAAGGTATCGTTTTCTGTGGTAATGAGGGCGGAGCTTTTTCCGTGGAAGATTCCTTTAAAAGGTTCCATATCGGGAATCCAAATCACCTTTGACGTGAGGAACAAGTGATGGCTCTTTTCTGAGCAGCCCTTGGACTTTGTCCTTTTCGATGAGATCATTTGTTCAGAGAGACTCACTTCTTTTTCTTCTATAAATCTTTCTCTAAGCACCCCTGTTCAACTCGTTTCTGCAGCAATCGAGACCTGCTTTCATCGCTTGAATCGGGCAGCTCGCCCAAACCGCGGCGAATTTTGTCGCGTGCGACGTACGACACGTTTTTGCTGCACCATCGCGATGCTTATTCTATGTGGTAGAAGTGGTAGTAATGCAGTCAGCCACTGAGATGCTCGACACTAAGAAAGCATCCTCCAGGGGCTGACCGTAAGGAGTCCTTCGCCAGCGTACCACCCATACATCCTTGTTATTTCGTTTTTAGGACCGAAAATTCCCGAATTTGGTATACAACTCACTTTAAGAAACTCGGGAGCGTAATTCCATGGATTTTGAGCGTACTTGTTCTTTGGTATCTCATAGGCCAGTTGATTCACTTGCTGAAAATCGTCAGTAATACATAACTCAACCTGAACTCTATGAAAAAAATAGTTGAGGATTTTTTCGAAACCCGTCTTGCTCAAAATTTCCAAGGGGAAAGCTGATCGCAATTTTCTTGAGTACTTGTTACATAGTATATAAGAATGTCTTCAAAAAATACAAATAGCCTTGAACATCTGAAGTAGAGTAGAGAGAGTCGTAAAATAATTACTGGAATACTGTCAAAAAACCTATGAATGTTTGTTCATTTATCTCTAGATCAGTCCTCCGTCAACCGTCGGGACCCTCCTTCTGCTGAAAGCTTTATGTCTTGCGCTGTGGTCTCTTCGACCTGTGACACCTACACCTCGTGAAGGTGACACGTATGCAACAAAAAAGAGTTTCGTATTCCATTAGCCTTGCTTCATTTTGCGGACGGCCAGACAGACATACATGCAGGAATACATACAAACCGATACACCAAGTTAGCGGTTTATAAAATGGGAGGATTTTTCATTTACTTTTCTTTTCAATACCCTTGAGGAGTGCCCAGCCACGGGAGAAATTCACGTAGGAGAAGGAGTGGAACGATAGAAGAGCTATATTTGAGTCTCCCCCTTCGCAGAAAGATACGGACAGCGACTAGATTGAATATGTTGTGTTGTTATAAAGGAAGTGCGGATATCAGAATGAATGAGGTGAAATTAGAGACCAGTTTTCAGTGTAAAAATCTCATCCTGACCGCTGAGCGAAGTGGTTAGCGAGGTGGTTAATTGCCGAGATAAATTATTGTTCAATTAGTGGCCAAATGAAATTCGACAATTAAAGGCAAGCCCGGGATAAAACCGGTGATAAGAGCGCTTCGTAATGATGACTGAGCTGCGGGACGGCCTGAAAGTGGAAGGAAAGCTAGAGAAATCTTTGGGATCGCTGAAATTAAGGCCTTAACCTTCAAAAAGGTCGGATGTGGAACGATGGCGAGGCAGGGCGGTCAAAGAAGACAAAACACGCGAGAGATCACGCCGTTCGAGAGAGCACGCCGATATCGAGGTGGGTGGGAAGCGTTGCAACGGGGGTCGATGGTTGCAGGCCCGTAAGGATTAGCGCCCTAACCGCGCAATTTTGCGGCGAAGCTGGAGTGATCTAGGTAGGTAGGGACCTTACAATTTCCCCGCGGTATCCTTCCCACAAGTCGGGCTAATCCCGGGGTTTGCCTTTTACGAAAACTTGCTCTCTTGCTTCTTGAATAGTCTGCTAACATTTCAAAGAGTTTATTAATTAGGTATTGTCAGTAGCTTTCCCTGAAATACTCAAACCTTGGTTAGTGGACTGCGTTGAGGCACAGGACGTATCACATTGTCGTTACATTCCACGTTCAAGTTACTGTAGCTTCGAGGAGGAGGTTGTGGAGAATATCTATCCATCCACCTGAAATGCTCAAATTCACATGGACTATAAGGAATGAAATTGAAGTGAGCTGTTTCTATTATGCCCCATATAATCAACACTGCTCCACATAATCTTTCACCGATAACTTCAGATGGAGGTATCATCATGAGGAACAGTGTACTCGAACTAACGTCGAAACAGTATGAACTGTATTCAATGCTCGAAACAGTATGAACTTGTGACTAATAGACATGCTTGGCAAAGGCAAGGCAGGACAAGGTGTCACCTTGGCCTAACGGACCAATGTCACTCGAAATCCTGCTAACAATATTTGTTTCTCGCACAGTTACTGTTTTATGCACCGTCTCTGGCTAGGAATGACCGAAACCGCTTCACATCAGCCGTGAGCGGGCCACATAATAGCTAATAAATGCGCGCCACAGCCTGCAGAGGGCTCGCTCTCTCTTCTGGTCTCGGCGACGTCGACCCGTTTCGCTGACAGCCCACTGCACCCGACACCGTTCACTGAAGGAAGGTCCATCTACTTAAACCAAAAGTCCGTGCGACGTCTGAGCTATGAGTGAATTATAGTGACCGTAATGAAGATTCATGACGATTCACTGCGGCGAGGTGTTAGTGGACAACGGTATCCTAAAGTCACAAGACTTTAGTCAGAAACCGCTTCACATCAGCCGTGAGTGGGGCTAGCCGTCCCTTGTGCCAAATTCAAGGTCGTACTTTGGACCAGTCAGCAGGGTTGTAAGAATGGGAGCCAGAGGCGGGTCAACAACGATCAGACCCGCTGAGAAAGGACTTAAATTTTCGAAATTCTTATGCAACTCCACGCAATGTCACACCCTGAATTGAAAGAACGTTCTAGCCTTCTAAAAAACGAGATGCGCATTCTCTGGAGCATTCATTTTTCATCATATTCAAGAGAGCTTTCAGTTCACTGTTGTATAGGAATTCGGTATTTGTCCAAGACCAAAAATTTCTGCAATTCTGAACTATGTGAACTGTTGCAAAGGTTCACTCTGAAAAAGTTCTTTCAGTTGAAGAGCAGAAGTTCATGGCGCTTTCTTTTCCCGGCATCAAACTGTAAGACAAGAGCGCGCTTCAGTGCAAAGTGCATGACGTAGCCGCGAGCACAGGAAGCAATTTTATCAAAGACGAATGCATAGATACACACAATTACATACACAGCTTACACATGGAGGGAATCCCAAGGGAGGGCGGCCATAAAGAATTGAAACTGGCGCAATGGTTGATCCTGCTGTGAGGAGGAGAGGCTTGGATGCATCAAAAAACTGGAAGGAAAGAGATGAAAAGTAGTGATTTTCGCATCCATCCCTTTGAGTTTACTTTCACTCCATTAACCCGCTAACAATTGCCGTTGTATCTTGGATCTTTTTTGCTATACATATTCTGCCATCTATAGCCATTACCCCTTTGAAGCCACGGGTCGGGATCAGGTACCAAGAGAGTCTCTCTTAGAATAAGAAAGAGGGGTCCCCAAGCTCATGAGCTGTGGGGCTGCCGCGATTCGAAGTGCGCGGCAAGGGCGCTAAGGCCTTGCTTCATGCGCTGCCGCGCTGCCGCTCTATCAATAGCGGCATACGTGGCGTTTGCGCCCTCTCGCGTACGACGTACTCTCTCGCGTTTTCCCTCTCCTCGCAGCGCTGTGTCTCTCCGTCATACCACGCCAACCTCACAAGGGGATTTTCAGTGTTTTCTGGTGTGTAACGTGCTGCTTCTTGCCAATCACGTCCCTCGTGGCACTTCTTGCCTATTTTTCGAGCAAAATAACCTAACAAATCGATCCCGTGCTTCGATAATGTTGTTAAATTTCCACCGTCGCTATACCTCGGAAAAGCTCCACTGAAACTTCATCTGTGGGAGTTACTTGATGCCCTGACTACGAGCACAGCATCCATTTTGCGCAACTGAACCAGTCGCCAAGGTTGTTTCTACCAAATTTGGCGTAAACATTTGCATAAGGGTTATTTGTGCCCGGCGCAGGCAGGTTGACCAAGCGCTGCGCCGAGCCCATCAGCAGCGGTGCCAAAATGGCATCAAGTGGCGCCCTTTGGCGTCATTTGATGCCATTTTGGCACCACTGTTCATGGGCTCCGCGCAGCGCTTGGCCAATCTGCCTGCGCCGGGCTATGGTAGTACTCACTCCATAGCTAAGCCTCAGGGGGAAGGGAAGGACTCTGAAGTAGTGAGCCCTTTTTTGGTTGAAGTTCCTCTCCTTCCTAGAATTACTCCTGACGGCCACTGCCATCGCGCCGCCGCGTGCCCCCTTCCCCTCCAACTGTATAATACATCAACCACAAGCAATCATGGCGCCAAATCACGTCTCTGCCAAAAATGAATGCCATTACTGGTATCAGGGCATCAAATGGTGACAGCGCCAAAAAGGTGATATTCGTAATTAGGGCACAAAATGGCCTCCATGGATGACGCTCCAGGGAGAAGTTTCGTTTTGCGCGTTTCTGGCATTGGTCTAGTGATGTTTTCATAAAATCACAATCTATAAAAAATATACAGCGTTCCATGCCGGCAATGGTTTACTGGCAAGTGGCAGGCTGCGGGGATCAAATCCTAGGTCGTGCGTCATCCGGGCCAACCAAGCCTTCCATACCCTCTGTTTTTATTGTATTACATTGTCGCTTTTAGACGACTTTTAATTGAATGAGAGATTTTGTAAAGGTATCTTGTGTAACTAGCTTCAGCAAATTGAGCCAGGGTGACGCAGAGCAGGCAAGGTTCTTGAGAACCTTCACGATCCTCTTCTCCAAGACAGCATCCAAGATGAAGTAACAGTCATCATCTTCCCTATTTGCTCTTTTTGTACCACCGAATCGGTTTATCCAAACTTCTTCTGCTGGAACTCTGCAGTCGGTCAAGATATCGCCACAAAATGCCCCCTTCAAAATTATTAGGTAGATGCATAATTCTTGCGTTTTTTTCCAACAAATTTTATTCAGCGAAAACGGTGAAAAAATACTCAACAAAAACATGTTTAAATGATTGTTCCTGAAAGTATTCACCATCCTTCAAGAATGCTTTCTTGGCAGTCGGTCGATTCCACGGGTGAAGAAGTCACGATTGTAGGAGACGATCGACGGTCTGACATTCGCCGCCCATTCAATCAGTTGTGTAAATTTGTCTCGTGTGAGTATTCCACGACTTGATGAGTGGTAGTCTGTAGAGAGCTCCGTTTGCGTAAAGATAGCATGTTGAACCTGTGCAAGACGTTCACTTGATTTTTTATGATGGTTCGTAGAAAATTCGATGCATCGCCGAGACTGTAACCGCCTTCCAACTTTTCGACTATTGGGGCGTATGTGGCGAATGTGTGAAACAATTCTTGTTAAGCACTCCTGTTAATGAAAAAGAGAAGAATATTCTCAAAAAAAAAATAATAAACAAATGCCAATTATTGCGAAAAAGAAGGCGCGAAAAAAAAACCGCAGGAATCTTGCATCATCCCAATAGATGCGACCTGTACCAGGAGGAAGTGCGAGAGGGAAGCTGAACGGTTGTTTTCGTTCAGAAATTTTCATCAAGCGAAAATGATATTTGCACCACCACGGACACCAGCTGTGCTCTTACCGACGCAGTGTCAATCTATTTTGTCCCTACAGCTCACAGTAATGCTTGCTTGCTTGCTGACCCAACCTACTTATTCATATAGATTCATTTCGCGAAGTTATTACGGAAGTAATCTAAACTGTGGCCGTGGTCGTGGAGGTGTTCGATCGACGTTCCGGGAGATTCAGGCGGTAGCCACCCTTGTCTTACTGACATCATCAAATCGCAAGCCCGATCCACCTGTTTTCGATATTTCAGCGAATGCATAACTAATAGCTTACCTCAGCGAATATTGATGATGAGATCATAACGCCGACGTACGTGTAGTTAAGAACTTAGCCCATCAAAACCTATTACGAAGCTAGAAGCATGGTCTCGCCACTGCACGTTTGTTTTGCAGAACCTGTGTTTCTAAGGCCTACATCAACCTGTCGGCGAGATCATCCGAGTGGGTCAAATTTTCACCCTGGAACACTTGCTCTGCTTTGTGATATTATTATTTGGCCTTTCTCAATGTTGTAAATACTGCTCACGTATTTGTAGGATCCAGAAACGCTATATTAAAGGCACGCTCCACGATTAGGCGCGCTCGCCTCTTCCATCCCGGGGTAGTAGGCAGGCGGACAAGTGTTGTTGTCGCACCCCTTTTGCCGCTTGAAAGTGCGCGACAAAGGCACAAGCAGCTCGTCCGACCTGCAACTCACACCTTCGTCCGCAAGCCCCACCCTCCGCTGTCCGTTGCCACGTGGCGCTGCTTGAAAAGCGCGGGCGCATTTGAGGCAGCGGTCCCACCGCGATCCTGTGTCAATGGCACTGGAGCAACTAGAGTCAGGCTCGCGAAACTCGTCCAACGCGCCTTTTCTCTATCCCAAGGTGGAATGTTGCTGAAATAGGGGAGGTTTCTGTACGGGGCGTAATCTGTGATTTCGTTTGCTTTCCTTCCTTTTATAGACCCCTCCCACCAATCTATAACATGATTAGCACTTTTTAGGCACCTTTTTAGTCCGAATCTTGCCTTAATAAGGATAAAGCATTTGCCGTTGATCGAATCCCTTTTGGGATGCGGCACGCATTCTACTTCCATTTGTACATTCGTAGTGGCGTTTGAATGCGATGTGGCCTATACAATGACTTGCGGCAGCCGATGTAAAAGTCAGTGTTTTTAC